TCAGTATTTCATCGATAATTTGCAAATTATTGTGGTTTATTGGGTTAGACATTTTTTTTCCAATATAAATAGACTGTAATATATAATATAATTGACAAATTCACGATTAAACCAATATTGCATAATTGCACGTTTTAAGGTGCCCACACACTGCTGCGGTACGCGATACAGTATCGGTACAGTAAAGTTGTCGGTAAAATCGTTCAAATGGTTTTCATAGGCATTGCACACACCGCACTAGACCGGTACGGTGCGCGCCTCCGTTATTATTTGTGCGGTACAATTAATAACCATGCTCATAGATCTAAATGGGGGCTTGCACACTAGTGCGATATAATGCCGGTACGGTCTCAAATATCGTACCGGAGGACGGTTTCTGCACCGGTATTTTTAGAATGTTGCATGTACGATTTTTATCGTGTACTGGAATGGTAAAATTAATTATCAAATCAGCTTTAAAAATCATAGGTACTTAAAAAATCAGGAAATTTACTCTGCTGTATAGTAGATTTTATATCTACTTCATGTCTTCATCATTGTGTAGTTTGATAAATTAATTCTAATTAAAATGATGTCACATCCGGGGAAGTACATTATCTATGTTTTATCTTAAGTTTTTTACAATATCTTAATTTTTAAAACGACAGTTATTTTTGAGCTTTTTTAAATTGTAATATTTTACATACCTAGTCATAAACTCCTAAACTCACTAAAAAATTGAGATTTTATAAATAACTTACGAGAAGATAGAGATAATTCATGTTGAAATAGATAATAGGTCAGATTAATTTTGTATTAAAGCTTAATAACACAAAATTAGTTCTGCTGAATACAGATTTGCCATGTTATATGTTTGTAAGACGGAGACTACTCATTACCTACCCGTATCGATAATATTCACACTTTTAAGATTATTATAATTTTATATGATAATATTATAATGCTATCATATTTTCATCAGTTAATTTCAAAAAATCTAGAATTCTGGGCACAATTTCTAAAAACTTATTTCTATAATTTTCCAGCTACCTATATCAGGTACGTAATACTTAAGTACCTACAAAATTTGTAAAAAAACTATTCAACAACTTTTTTTGTTCAGTAATAAATTGTTTTTGGAATAATTTGTCTTTTTTTCATTTTTTTTGGTAGTTGTGTATTTTTATTATATTTATTTTTTTGGATTTTATAAAATGTCTATGTAGTGTATCTATATATTCTACTGTGTTTAATACAAATAATTTAAACCTCGAAGTACAACATTTATGATGTTAATATACATAGACACAGTACAACTTCATATAAAATTGTTTATAAGTTTATAAATACATAAGGTCCTCCCTGAAAATAATAACAGTTTCAATAATAATTGTAGAATCATAATACAATAATTTTAAAATAATAAATTTTAGTATTCTATACGTATCGTACCGCAGCAATGTGTACTTACAAACTGATAAACGTTCCGGTAGGATATTTTCCGGTCCAGTACTCCATATTGAGTACCAGATTAGCTACGACGGTATAAATATCGTACAAAAAAAAAGTAGTGCACTGTATCGATACCGTATCGCGTACCGCAGGAGTGTGTGAGCATCTTTACTGTTTTAGTTTTTATCTAACTATTAAACTATAAACAGCAATCATAATATTTTAGAAAATCATATTATCTTATCTTACTTTGTATTTTTATATTATCTACGGTTACGGTTGGCTACGAAATTATGTTTTATTTATAACTTTGATTATTACTTGGTTTTTAGTAATATTTAACCAGTGGGCTACTCTGAATTGTATGTGGAATGACAAATATTATTACCAATCATACAAACTATATATTTCTATTGATTACTATTGATAAAAACTAATACTAAATAAAAACTATAACTAAAAACAAATAATATTTTCTATCAAATTGACTATGACGGTTATTAATTTTCAGGCATTTAAGTTCAATAACAAAAAAAAAAAAACTTTGTTGTTATAATTTTCATTTTTTATAATATACTTTGCATCATTAATATTTTGATCAATCAGCTTCAAAATAAAAAAGCTATATTAGCTTCATTTAAAAATTTACGTTCTGATGAGGTTTTTAATAAATTTTGGCAAAAGGTTCAAGATTTTTCAAATAAAAATAATATATTATTGACAATACTACCCATAAACGAAGATTAGTTCTTTATTATTTATTTGGACTATATATTATTGCTTTATTTAAAACATATATTTAAAATGTCTGTACCTAAGTCTTTATAATAACATATTGTTAAAAAAATATTTATGTATTTTATCTGACTGTAGTGTCAAACAAAAAACAAAATCGGAAACGTCGTGAACCAACTAAACGTCAAAATTATGATCTGAGTCATCAAACAGGAGCAGTGTCTGAAAATAATACTTCAAACACTATTGGATATTGGCGTACAACAGTTTATTTAAGGATAATTGATGGAATAATTATGAATTTAGAAAAACATTTTTCTGAAGAAAGCTTAGAGCTGGCCAAATCTCTAGACAACTTTTTTTAACTTGGATGAATATAATAGTTCATGTTTTATAAACACTTAAAAGGTATACATTTAATAAAAAAAAACTAGCTATTTAAAATATTTATTACATGGTCATATGTTTTGAAATATTATTATATTAATTAATCTATTTATTTTTTGATATATCAGGATATTTTGAAAATATCGACACTTAGTTTATCAGCAGAAATGCTGGTCTTAAAGAATAGTCTACCAGCCAATTTTGAATTTAAAGACTTGAAAAATCAATATAATTAAGTTCGTTTCCAAATGTTTATAAACTAGTTCAAGTGGGAATGACAATTCCAATTTCTCCTTCAACGTGTAAACACTCTTTTTCAGCTATGTGTAAATTGAAAAATTGGTTACGCATTAGTATGGGCAAAAAAAAAATTTACTAAGCGATCTACGCTTTTTTGAGAGAGATCTTACCAATAAAATAAATGGGGAAATTATATTGGAAAAATTTGCATCTTCAAACAGGAAATTAAATCTTGTTTAATATATTATTAATAATTACATATTATTATAACTTATAATATAATTACTTTTAAATAATCTTTAATAAAAATTAAAAATTACGGCAACGCAGTTGATTATAATATTAGGGAGGCGTGGGGGGCAAAGCCCCCCACAGACCTGTGTACTATAAATTATTCCAGCACCCCCTGAATTCACATACAATGTGCGCCTATGATGATACGTGGTTTTTAGTTGCATGGTTTTTTGAGTGATTTTAAATTACTGATTTATTTACAACTATCTATTTGTAAGGTTGTTGAATATTTTAAAATAACTTGAGTTGTTTTTTTATCCTACCAGGAATACTATAATTGTTGTATTGAAAAAAAAAATTTTAAATTAGTATGAAAGTAGTGGTTGATTAGAGGTTACCCTCAGTTTGCTCCCTCAAAATATATTATGTTCCGACTTCCCTGAGTGATAATGGTGCACAATAACATTGTTTCCGTGGTACTGCTTTTAATTTATAAAATTTAATGTCATAATAAATAAAAATATTGATAAAATACTAAGATTTTATAAACAAGTTTGGAAAAGTAAATCAAACATTTATCTAATTTTTTTTAACTTCCACTAAAAAACGATTTTGCTGAATTTACATAAAATAATATACGCTAATGACAAAAAAAAAATCAAAAATATGCCAACATGTCAATACACATAAAATATGCAAAAACATGCTTTATTAAACTTGAAATTTTTATTACCATTATTATAAAATAGATTTTTATCTCAATTAGCATATTTTCTGATGTAGCAAAGAAAACATGCAAATGCATGAACTTACGAGTCCTGATTATAAGTATTTAAAAAATATAAGTTAAACAATAGTATTTAACTCTTGAATTTATTATTTAACCAAAAAAATAGTACACTGTACAAATAAGGTGTACAAACAGATGGCAGCTCTAGAGGAAAACATTTTTTTTGATGTTTGTAAACTTCGATGTCCTTAAACATCGATGATTTTTCACCGATATATCAAACACATCAATATTTTAAAAATCGATGTATCGACGTTCAAACAATTTTGCCCATCCCTACTATGATACTAAGGCCGGGCAAGACACCCATTAAGTTTTTTAAAACCTGGTGCCTATGCTATTACCATTAGATCATACCTTACTAATAAGACACAGGTAGTTAAATTTAATGATAAATATAGCAGTTCATTAATATTAAATCAAAATGTGTCACAAGGGACTGTACTTGGGCCCATTTTCTTTATTAAATATTCCTATGTATATGGATTGGTTAATATTAATTGATACTGATATAGTATATTTTGCAGATGATACCGTTATTCTCATAAGCGAAAAATATATTGACAAATTATATCAAGGGAAATATTAATTTTTTTATAATATATTAATATATTATTTGAAATTCCACAGACAGCAATGTTTAGCTGTTATAAAACATCAATATTTTGAAAACATTTGATCTAGACTTAAAGTCTTCATTAATTTATGGATTTATTATTTATATTATTATTTTATTAATAATAATGGCTTATAAATAAAATAACGTATTATATAATAATTTTCCGTTGGTTTAGAAAAGTAATATATTTGTTAAAAATTATAAAGCTGTTATCGAAAAATGTCAACTTATCCAATAAAATATTTTACAAACATTTTAAATCTATTATCACTAATAATTAGCAATTAGCTTATAATATTAATAAGTATTGCAATTTAATGCACGAAAAGAAACAAGTGATTTTAATCGGTTATGTTATTTAATTAAAAATAAAATCGTTGTCTAGTAAAAATAATAATATATTGGTAAATATATATATTAATAAAAAAAATGCAGTTAATAGTATTTATTACTAACATTATTATTTATTAAAAATTATATAATGTATCATTTACATACTATGTAAAGATACCTGACCATAATTTTATAACTTATTTTAGATACATCTGATTTACAAGATATGAGTTGAGTGATAATTAGATTCTCTTTATTATTATAAAGTTATTGTCTTATTACGTGTGCGTGTGTCTTTTATGATACAATGTTTATTCTCGTTCAATAATTAATTTTCTCGAAAATTAAGGGATCCAACTTGCCATAAACCTGTTCGAACCCTTCAATGCTGCAGCAAAAGATATTCGCTTCATGTTTGTTATCTGGGATATCAACCAGGCCCTTATACCCTCCTTCGCATTCATTTTTGCATATAAACATAGATTTGTCCACCTCTTTGTACGGATTGTTCATGCCCAAGAACACTATACCTTTTTTCTCGAACAGATCGTACATTATTTTCCAGTAGAACAACGGGACTGGTAGGTTTTTGGGCGGGTCCAGGAACAGGGGCTGTAGGACGCCGTTCACATCGGGCAGCATGCACGAGCCATATGTCCCGGTCACGACCACATGTATGTCTTCATCTTGATCCATCATTTCGCGATACGTTTTCTCCAGGTCAGCCCACTTATCGCCGTTGAATTGCTGCCACTGGGGGGCCACGTTTGCGTAGTAAAACCTGCAAGCGAGCAAATAGCGTATGGTGAATATATATGTTATTAGATAGGTTAGATAGGTTCTTAAACAATACGCATACACGAGAATAATTCGTTATTGTCGAGTGTTTTTAATAATGATTAGTAATCAGGGATGACTCACGTGGCCTTTGAAATTGGAATTGCTAGGTATTGAATATTATTAATAAAAATTACGAGATACGATTATGAACCAATTTAAAATGTATTTTATTAAACCGAAATAAGCATAAGAAATTTTTTTTTTAAACGATTAAAACTTTCATAGAGCTTAAAAATTAACTCTTGATGGTTATCAAATTTCAAGTATACGTAATATATTATAGCTCCGTAAATTTACCCTGTACATTTAACTGGTACTACTAAGTTAAAGTACATTTTATTAAAATTTTACCGGGTATAATTATTTTATAGTTGTCAAAATCGGGTGAACTCTTTTATTAAATGTTTCTATACAGGTGATAGCGTTTAATTAGTACCCTTTATAATTATTTATACGATACCTATAAACAACTTTATAATTGATCCAAAACTACGTAAATTTTATTGCTCTATTTCACATCTCTAATAATTTTGTAACATCGATGAAAATATGAAATTGCACAAGCATGATTTTCCTAAGATACAACACGTGTATGCCTATCAGTCGATTATTCGGGCACATGTAAACTTCGCCAAAAGTACCTTTTTTACTGTAAACCTCGTCAGAAAAAAAAATCAGGTAAAATTGAGTTCATGTAAACTTCACCAGTGAAGAAAATCAAATAGTAGTATAAAATTAATATAATGATTATTTAAAAAAATTATAATATAATATCATATCGTTCACATTAAATATTTTAATCACAGTAAAAATAAATCATAATAAATAATCATTATACCTAATATCCAAAATTATATACTTATGTCATGTATGTAAATTAAAATTATGTGATACAATTAATAAATATTCTAAGTCTTGTATTACCATTAGTGGTACTCTATTAGTGTACCTATTTATAGCATCCTGTAACACAGTCATTTTTTTTTATTTCGAATATTTTAGCCTATTTATTTGTGATATGTCACTTAGTTTTATATAAGTATGGGTTTGAAATTCGGTAAAAACTTTACTAAAAATATGAACATTTGGTTGAATTTTAAAAAAATTAATTTCTTAATTAACTATTAAAGGATTCACTGACAAAACATAAAAAAAAAAAAAAACTGGTGGAGTTTACATATACCCATTACAGGTAAGGAAAAAAAACTGGCGAAGCTTACACTAGACCTTTTATTACCTTTTTATCTTAACCGATATTCTGGCGGAGTTGACAATCGCTCGATTATTCATGGCAATCTTATTATTTCCGAATTTCCTCTTCTTGTAATTGGCTATAAGTTATGATTTTATGAGCGTTATGAAGGTGGTTATCAACGTTACGACAAGTCGTGCACTATGCCTGAATCCCGGGGTTAGTCTAAAGCTTGATTAATGGAGGGGGGAGGAAAGAAATTACCATTATTATATTATATATTAAATTATTATTTATTATAATGAAACATGCTACTTATACAAATATATACACGGCATTCGATACTAAATATTTATAAATATTTATTATTTATCTGTATGGCGGTGAATCTATACCAAAAATATTAAATAAATCTGCGTTAAAAAAAAATCCCAAGAGGGGGGAGGTTGCGATCAATAATTTACCCCTACCACTATAAATCAGCTCCTGCTTGGATCTCAATAGTATTAAACTGTAAATTGATTTGGTATTCGATAGCCTAGCAGTTATTATCTCATTATCTGTTAGAGTTTTTTGGAAAACTATTTATATCTACCATTGTCACAAATCATGGGAGAGATTTGAGGAGGGGGTGATTCTCCCAAACTTAGCTGTAGTCCCCAAAAATCCAGGACACTACAGTTCAAAATGTTATATTTTGCAACATATTTTGTATGATGATAAAAGTAATGTTGGTTAAGGGGGTCTGGGTGGTATAACTTCCACCGCTATATTTGGTAAACATTTTCCAAGTCGTCCCTAAGTAAAAAATTTAAATTGAGCCTATGGTACCTACAATAGATAATTTTATGAAAATATAGAACTAATATTGTTTATAAAAGTATTTTAAAATTGATATCGAGTATCAATATATTTGAGTATCGTTATGTAGTTATTTATTTGATATATTTTCGAATATCATTGACGTATAAAACATTTTATCTAGTGAATACTTAATATCATGTTCATGTACAATTTAAATTATACACAGTAAAAGAATAATTTTAATGTATCTTTAAATTTATAATTTTATTTTATAATATTCAAATTTATAACTTATAACTTTGGGAAATTTTTTTACCAGAAATCGTTACACTTACGTGGCAGTCTGTTCGAATGCATAGTAAAAATCGGCTTTGGCTGCCAAATGACCTCTTGACAGCGAGTGTTTGCTGTCATCCATAATGTATTTGTTTGCTAGATCATCTGATTTGAGAATTGTTGCCAAAGTTTTCCTCTAAAAAAATAAATCATTACTTTCGAATACTTAAAATGTAAAATGTTTTTATAATTCAATTCTATGTATTTAAAAATATTGATTTTATTACAAATTTTAAGTTCTGAGTAAAACAAATAATGTTTTGTTTTTTACCATAGTGTGTGTGTTTTTTTGAATTTTTAGTACATGATCTCGACTTGAAGGTTTGCTCAGATCATTATCAAATAATAAGTAAAATATGAGAATCGGGTTCAAGTTAATGTTCTAGAGCAGTGGTCGGCAACTAGCGGCCCACGATCTACATCCTTCGTGTCTCTATACGGCCTGCATTAAATTACAAAACTAGGAAATTTTATTGAATATCATATTAATTTTTTTTATTGCCTGGTCCATGAACCTTTTTTAATTTGTGAATGTAACCCATAAGTCCAAAAAGGTTGCCGACCACTGCTTCAAAGGAGTAAACTTTCAATAACTTTTCGAATAAATGAAAAACGAAGATAAAATTGCAAAAAACTTGAAATGAGATTTTCTCCGTTTATCTCAATTATTCGGGAAATTGTTGAGAAATTAAAAATATGACAGATAAATTCCTATGTTTAAATTTTTTTTTTGGTGGTTATAGGAACAATCATTAAGGTCGAAAACACGCGTGCTTACATACACAAAAATAGTAAAAAAACCACACATATTATGGTAAAACAAATACATTCTCCGTTACGCTCAGAATCTAAAACATGTTATATATATATAAAAAAAATATTTTGATTTTGATTTTAGAAACAAAACTCTACCAGGTTTTTTAATTTTTGATATTATGTCTATAATTATAACGGAGTATATAATCCTGTTTCTTACTTGTTCTTTTACGGTGTATTTTTTATTCACGTCTATGGAACCGTATAATTCTTTGGACTTGTGGAACGACGGCCGTTTTTTGTACTTTTGGGATATATCGTAGTACGGTACTCTTGCATCGTACCACGTATACAGGGCGTTCTTGGTCTTGAGGTCAAAACAAATTTTGTACAACACGATCAGTCCTTCGTCCGAACGAAAACCGACTTCGGCTACGGTGTAATTGTTCGACTGACATTTTTTATCGGTCACCACCAGCTCCGACTTAGGCATCGATTCACACTCAAAATCATTATACCTGTATAAGCGATTGTTGTACAAAAGCTGGGCGTCCACTACGCACTTGACCTCCACCTCAGATGTTTGATTCAAATCCTTATGTTTAAATCGCGAATTGGCGCATAACAGCTTAAAAGTGATGTCGTGCTTTATGTTCAGCAAACCATCTATGTCTGGGTACATGATAACAAGTCGTGTGCCGTTTTTCATGTAGGGAATGGGCATTTTCGACGCGTTCTCTTCTTGGGTGGAGATCAAACAATCGTCCACTTGGTTCCATTCTTCATCTGTTTTATACATCGAGTTATATATAATATATATTTCCCCACATAGCAATTTACATATTATACCTAATGTTATGATTATATTAAGTTTACAGAATGTCTTTGGTCTCAATGTTCATAAGTTCGATTAGGATGGGTATTTTTCCAGCTTTTGTCATCAAGACGAGTCAGCGTGTGTGATTAGTAAAACATTTTTCAACCTTTTCCCCATCAGATTTTTTTAAATACGATCTTTTAAAACTTTTTTTTTTAAAAAATTGTATGGTACTCTCTCTCTCTCTCGATATAAATAAGTACGACATAAGTACTCATATATTATTCTGCTTTGAAGTAATTATTTTAAATTATCGATGTAAAATATTGAATTATTCCGGGGGATAATTACTGAATTACATTATTATTAATTATGTAGATTATACTACGTAATATACGTATCTGTGATGTTATTCATCAGCTAGTTAAATAAGTTTTTTTTCATTGTCCTAACTTAACTCAATTTGAGGTTCACTGTTTAATATCTTTGTTATTAGCCACCTTTGTGTTTATATGAATATTATATTTTAAAAAGTATAAAATTTTAAAATTATGAACCCACGGTTTTCAATATGAAACATAAAAGACAATTTGTAACTTAATAAAATTATTATACTAATGTTAAAAAAAATTATTTACCTGGATTATAAAATCTTTTCATGATTTCTTCTGAGGAATTAGCCAAAGAGGAATAGTTATAATTATAATCCTCGTAGGAAATGTCAGGAGGAATCGAACTTTCATCAGAATCTGGTTGTGTTAGACATAGACACGGAAAAATTACTATTACTGAGAGCTTAATCAGATTCATTTTTATATTTTGAGTTTCTGCTGTGTACTGCACGTATTTATTTGAAAGGACTAGTCTATATCTTCGTCTTCATCTACTCTCCCACTTAAATGAGGTCAGCCAACAGTTATCGACGCTGACAAAGAGTAAGTGAAATATTATCTTATATTTTAATTAATAACCAGTGTCGTACGCAAATTAAATCACATTATTTATAAATATACGTATGGTATAGTTAATACTATTACGCAAAAATAATTAACTTTGCTTAACATGGTTATTTTATGTTGAATTCATAGAAATACTTCAAATGTAATCTTTTTCTAATATATACTAAGCAAATAGTTTGTGCATTGATACTGAATTTCCAATTTTTCAAAATGAATGTAACAAGGTAAATTATAGATTTTTATGTATGCTGATCTTTTTAGTGTTGTTGAAAATATATTTGGTATTATTTACAAGCAGAAATTAAATATTTAAACAAAATAAATAAAAACCTTAAATTTACACTCGAAATCCAAATAAATAATATATTTAATTTCTTAAATTTTTCTGTTTCCATAATAAATAAAACATTTGAATTTAGTATTTACAGGAAACCTATACAAACTTTTGCTTTAATACCATATCATTATAATCACCCTAATTTTCAAAAAAAAAAATTTTAATTTAATATTCTATGGACTTGAACGTATGCCATTAAATAAACGTAATTATCAATACGAACTCAATATTATTTATAATATAGCCCAAACAAATAATTTCAATTTAAATATTATTAAAAATTTCCATAAACGTATTAAAGAAAAAAGAAAACACATCTCACCAAATAATGTTTGTAGTTATGTATGAAACATAAAAATAATATAGCTGAGAAATTCATCAAAAGTTTAAACAAAAATTCTAATAATGTAAAAGTCGATTTTAAAACAAATTACAATTTAATCAAACATGTAAATAACAGAACTAAAAATTTTACAAAAAATCCTCTTTATTTTAAAAATGCTGGTATATACAAGCTTAAATGTTAATGTAATAAATTTTATATAGGCAATACAAATATATTTTAAAATAAGATATTAAGAATACTTTTTTAAAATAAAAATAAAAAAAAATTCCTCTAATTCAAATTTTGTTAAACAAATTCTAAAAAGTAACCATAGCATAAATTTTGATATCAATACAGGCTTGGAAATATTAAATACCCAAAATTACATTTACATTAATTCAATTGTAGTAGAGTTTTGCATACACAATAAAAAAAAGAAAAATAATTTTAATAATATTTTAAATATAATTTCTTACATCAATACATTTTAAATATGGTTCTCATTTTATACTTAAATTTTAAAAAGTAGTATAAAATAAGAATCATAGTATTTATATTTATTAATATTTCTATGTCTAATAAGAATTCATTTAAATTATCTCTCCTATTAAAATAAATTATTTGTATGTAAAAACAGCTATTTTTTTTAATGTATTTCTTCTTTTATTTTTTCATACTCAATCAAGATTTTATCGAATCAGTAAATTACTTTGTATATACCTAATGATGAATTTTTATTTGGAAACCGGTCGTACATTACAAATATAATTACTCCAGACTAAACATTCAATTATTTATTCCTATGTATAAACTATTTATTTTTATATTAATTTATGAGTATTAACCATGGACTAATTTTTATTTTATTTTTTATTATTTTGTCATTAGATAATATTTGATTCAATTTATGTTAAAAGAAATTATTCAATCTCCTAGAACAATGCTTAATAATAATTATTGGACCGAGTAAAATTAATAAGTGATAATAAAATGACATGCCAGTCTAATCAGTGTGATTTTTAATTATTCAAAATAGACTGTAATATTGATAAAATTAAAAATCATACTTCATAAAAATTATAATTATGATTTTTAAATTGTATGTGCTATGCACTAACTACTGAAACTTCCTATGCATAATTTAATAAAACCGGAAATTTAAGATTTTAGATTTAGATTTAGATTTAGATTTAGAGTTTATTATCAATTTTTTTATTTTGATAAAGTTTGATAAAATTGAACTACAAATTCGAAATAGAAGATAGATTAAAAAGGCTGAAAATTAAGTGAAATAACATGCTTTGAATTGGATTTATACAAAATAATTAAATTTAAAACCCAACACATACGTAGAATATAATCGTACGTTTTCATTACAAAACAAGATTTTGATCTTTAAGCTAATAACATATTTCGGTATGAAAAGTTCCATTAAGAAATTAAAAGTTAGAAAATCTATAATACAGTTTCTATTAGATTTTAGCATGTCGCTCTTTAGTATCTAATAAATCGTGACTATGCTTTGTTTGAAATAACGTAAATAACGGGTTTTGTTACGGTTATTATTGTAGAAAATATAAAAGAAACTAGTGTAATATATATTCACAAAATAATATTACCGTTGTATAAGCGTGAATTTAATGTACTAAGTGTGACGTTGCGTATCAAAAAAAAAAAAAAAAAAAAAATCCATAATAATAAACAAGTAATTAGAAATGTAAAAACAAAATGATTAATACAAATAATAATGAACTAGTGTGTAAGTTAATGTACAAATTATTAAATAGAATACTTGGTATAGTATATAATATATAGTATATTATACTACACTAAAATATGTAAAATGGGAATTCGTAAGAATGAACTATATTTTATAAGAGACGAAATAGTATTCTTTTTTTATAAAAAATGTTGCGGTCATATGGTTTCAATGTTATTTTAAATGTAACTTGGCATTTCATATTAAATCAAGTGTAATCATCGAATAAGCTATGTTGAAAGTCAAGTTAGATTCTTATAAAGAATACACGTGTAAAATTGATGCAGCTGATATCTATAGTCTAAGTATAAAATATTATGTGTTATTAAATGCAGTGTCTGAAGTAACGTTTAAGTGTTAACAATTATATTATTGTTTGTCGTTCTCTATACTTGTGTGCAAAATACATATAAGGATATAAAAATGTTGTTTCAATTTAAGTTGCGAATGTTTATGTAATAGTTTGTTGAATAATTTTTTTTATTTTCAAATGCATATTAAATATTTCCTATTAGAACTAATATAGTTATTTCAAACAAAACATATATTTATTATTTGGTATTTCCTAACATTATACCTACCTACTTCCATTTTTCTTTTTTTGTTTCGTTTATTGTTGTAGACGGTTTATATATATACCATTTTCATAATATTAATAATCAAAAATCGGATATTTGAACTACAAGTTAGGTACTTGTCATAGATTCAATTAATTTCAAGTAGAGTGCCTAAATAAGTACAGAGGTTTTTCGAATTTTAAGTTTTTTAAATTAAATTTGTAATTTTCCATCTAATTAGTATAATATAAATCACTGTAAACTCTTATTTACATAAATAAGTTTATACGATATTATTATTTCATGTAGTAGGTATAAATTATAGTATAAATATCAGGGTTTACAAACGTTATAATAACGTTATATACTCTTCTGGTCCTTGTGTACTCAGCCGGAGAGTACGCCTGTCTAGCCTGACTTTCACTGCAATAAATTTGATGTCCATCTCAACACTATGAGAATCATATCTGGCATGGCAAAATCAACTCCAAAACATTGGCTTCCCGTCTTGTATAATATTTTTAACCTTCTACACGATGCAAAACATGACGGACTAGTTGAATGGAAATTGGAATGGAAGAAATCTAATCCGGATACTCATAACCTAGTACAAATACTAGGTAACGCACTACCGGGATATCAGCTAGCTCAGCGAGACTGGGTCTTTCTAAACCGATAACGCACTGGACACGGGCGTTGAAAAGAATTGCTTTAAAAAATGGGAAATGGTAGATCTCCCAAACTGCGATGGCGGAAATTCATCTCAGACTATTCACCATATACTAAAAAATTATCGCATTTAAAGAATCAATACGGGAATTTCACGATATGAAACAATAAATTGGATCAGAGTCCTCGACATTAAACTTTAAAGAAGAACTTACCACTTTATTTTAAAAAATTTTACACTTACCAAAAATCTAATTATGTTATTTAATTTATAATATTACTAAATTTATTTGTTTACATGTACTATAATATACCATACGATAATAATAATACTATAACGTTACACATGACAAATAAGGATTAACATTTTTAAACGGAAAGAATAATATACTATAAAACTAAACATAACATACAACGAAAAATACAAAAAATAAAAAAATAAAATAAAACTTAACACATAATATGTAATAATAAAAAAAGTATCATTGAAGATTAAACAAAACAAAATAACTTAATTTACATTTATTAATTCTCAATTACATTGGGCGAATTTATTCGCTGTTCATCAACGAACAAAGTCTCGAGCGATTGAGCGGATACCAACTTATCCGATTACATTTCGGCTGGTTAACTCGCTCGTTCGTGCATATGACGTGTCACAACCACACATCGCGTAAGAAATAACAATAAAATGTATTTATGAAAATTTTAAGGTATTAATTATATTATTCACAAGTTAAAGTCTCTGGTATTTTTTTTTAATTTTTAAACAATGAAGCGGGATAGTAAAAATATAAGTAATTTTTTAAAAATGTACGAACAATATCCATTACTTTGGAATATAAAACATAAGGGCTATTGTAAGTTTTCATTTTTCGCAACTCCTGATGCAATAAATAGGAGATAATAGCAACATCTGCACGAACTACAGCTTCCGACATTTTTCAACCACAATTTGTCGCAAGCACACTAGCGATTTTGTTAACTATGTCGATTATACAAAACAATTTTACTCATCGAAGTGTAAAATAGCTAGCGAATAGCAACAAAAGAAGCCCGGCCGTCCATTTCAATCGCGGTCGAGTAGGTTTATTATATTAAACATCAAACACTTTTTCTACTGAACTAGCCTCTTTAACAACTAAAGTGGTAACTCTAGAAGCTAATATTGCATCGTCAAATACAAAGGCATCAACCTTAATTAACGACAGTTTAATATCTGAGATGATCAACAGACAATCACGACGAAATAATGTGTTACTCTTCAATTTACCAGAAGTTCCTAATGACTCAACCAATGCAAGCTCGGATCCTACTTCTATTCAAAACATTTTTGATTTTCTTAATTTAAAATCCAAACCTAATTCTGTCACTCGTCTGGGCAAACCTTCTTCTTCTAATACTACCAAACCTCGACCAATAAAATTACATTTCTCTGATGAAAAATATATTTTTGAATTATTCTCATATCAAAATAAATTAAAATCAAACTCTACCTGGAAAGATCTTCGCTTCTCTTCTGACCGAACCAAACAGCAACAAGAATACATATCACACCTTCGCCAAGAACTTCTAAACCGTCAATCTAATGGAGAACAGGACCTCATCATTAAATACATCAAAGGCACCCCAAAAATAATCAATTCAAAAAACTAATTTCCATTCACAATATATTCAACTGCTACTGCCAAAATGTAAGAGGTCTTAATACTAAATTAAAATTATTAAAAACCAATATAGATTTTTTAGATTTTAATATTTTAGCTTTTACCGAAACCTGGTTACATAATAATGTTAGCTCACTTAAACTAGGTCTCGTAAACTACGAAATTTATAGATACGATGGATCATTATTATCTAGCTCGTCGACCAGAGGAGGAGGTGTCTTAATAGCAGTGAATAAAAAATGTATTTACTCACAAATAGTTATTGATGTAAAATCGCTAGAATTATGCTTTGTCTCTGTAAAAATTAATAACACTAAAAATTTAATCGTGGGTTGTATCTACTTTCCGTCAAATTCCCCTTCTTCTTTGTATAATGATTATTTCTCTATTTTAGATAACCTAATTTCTTCTCGCCCAAATGATGATTTTCTACTTTTCTGTGATTTTAATTTGCCAAATTTAAATAAAGCATCATTAAATACTAACTTAAATCTATCCTCTTCTGAAGCTATTTTTTTAGAAAACCTATAATTTCTTAATCTTTTTCAAATAAATACAATCTTCAATAGTTATGATTCAATACTGGATCTTATCTTATTCAATTCTAATTCTCATTCTATATCTCTAAATAAGGATTCTATAGTTCCAGTTGATAATTATCACCCTCCTATCAATGTCAGTTACTCTTAGTCCTACACTCCCTCTCCGCTATCTTTTTCTGAAGAAACCTATGACTGGTATAAGGGAGATTTTATAAATATTTTATCTTTCCTTGCTTCAATAAACTGGAACGAATTTTTCAATATTAGTAATGATATTACAACCATAACTGAAGAATTTTATTCCCTCCTATTCTATGCAATTAACACTTTTATTCAAAAAAAAAAAAAAAAAAATACTGCAAATCTAAATTCCCCTGTTGGTTTTCTAAAAACTTAATAAATCTAATCAAATTAAAAAAATTCTAACATTCAATATTTAAGTTATTTAACTCACATGATGATTACCAACAATTCTCTTCCACACGTGTTCAATGCAAAACCTTGAGTAGATTTGATTACTCCCAATACTTTATTAATATTCAAAAATCTTTTAGATCTCAGCCTAAGAAATTTTGGTCATTTATTGAAAATATTAAAAAATCATCTGGTCTTCCAAACTTAATGTCATTAACCATAAAACAGCTGATAATGGTCAAGAAATTGTTGACTTATTTAGTCAATACTTCTCTTCAGTTTATAAAATTACACCTCCTACTAATATTAATTTTCAGTCTAATGTAGTTCAATCAATTGATTCCTTAAACTCACTAAACATCGAACTCCTAGAAGTTTTCAATGAATTAAATACTCTATCTTCTAAAAATGCAATGGACCTGATAGTCTCTCTCCTATATTTTTATTTAACTGCAGATTTATACTTTCACCACCTATCACATATCTCTTTAATTTTAGTTTAAATAGTGGCTCATTTCCATCATCTTGGAAATCCACCTATATTAATCCAATTCTTAAAAAAGGTAATAAATCATTTATCTCAAATGACCGTCCTATATAAATAATTTTTATTCTCCCAAAAATATTCTCTATAATAATAAATAATAAGCTCACACCCATATTTAAACATATTTTAGCACCACAACAACATGGATTTCGCAATAAAAAGTTATGTCTTACTAATTTAATAACTATTAAACATCATATAATTAAATCTTTTTCTAATAATCAACAAACCGATGTTATTTATATAGATTTTGAAAAAGCCTTTGATAGAGTAAACCACTCTTTATTAATTAATAAACTACAGGAAATCGGCTTTGCAAATCCTCTATTATCATGGTTTAACTCATTCCTAAGTCAGAGAATCCAATTTGTCAAATATAAAAACTTTATATCAACACCTATAAACGTAATTTCTGGTGTCCCTCAAGGCGATCACTTTTCCCCTCTCCTTTTTAATTTATTTATAAATGATGCTGTATCATCCATTTCACACTCCAACATTTTATTATTTGCCGACGATGCAAAAATTTACAAATCTATTACTTCCCCCGATGATACTAAACTTCTACAAAGTGATTTAGCTTCATTTAACGAATGGTGCATTTCAAATAGTCTTTCATTAAATATTGATAAATGCCAAATTGTTACTTACTCCAAAAAACACAATCCCTTACATTCTAATTATCATATATGCGATATTAACCTACATCGTTCGTCATTATTTAAAGATCTTGGGATTTTATTTGATTCCAAACTATTATTTAATGCTCATGTATCAGCGATTAAAAATAAAGATTTATCTGTATTTGGTATGATAAAAATAAACGGCTCCGATTTTCGTGATCCACTTGCTCTAAAATGCCTTTATATCTCACTAGTCCGTTCTTTATTAGAATATGCTCCACTAATTTGGAATCACAAAAGTGTAGGACATAATGATCAACTTGATAAAGTTCAAAATAAAGCTCTCAGATTTTTATGTCATAAAGGTAATATTCAAAGAACTTCTCACTCTGGATATGATAATAATTTAAAATTGTTAAATTTAGAATCTTTAAATGTATGGAGACACTTATCATACAACACGTTCCTCACCAAATTGCTAAATAACGAAATTGATGATCCATTTTTATTAAGTCAATTAAATTTCAAAGTTAATAGCCACTACACTCGTAACAATCATTCATTCTATATTCCTCATTCATCCGAAAAGTTTACATCATACGACCCCATAAATATTTTAATGTCTTCGGGAAATAGTTAATGATATTATAAAACATTGAATGTATTTTTATTATTATTATCATCATTATTATTATTATTATTATTATTATTGTTGTTGTCATTATCATTGTTATTATAATTATTATTATTACTATTATTCGATATATTAATCTTTTCATTTTTTATTGTGTTATATTTTACTATTTTAAATTATATTATATTATTGTTATCTTTACAAATATATTGTGAATTGGACTTTTGTCCGTATAAATAAATAAATAAATAAATAAATAAATAAACGAATTTGATAACAGTGAGTAAATTCGAAATATAAATTGACGATTGACATTTATTGGATCTAATGTCTTAACCACTTAATTTTACCGGCTATAATTGCATTTTTTTTATTTTTCTTATCATCATCATTGTAACTATGGGTAGAATAAATTCCAATTCCATGATGTGATGATTCTTTTTAAATACTAAGTTAAAACAAATGAAAGTGTTTGTTCCAAATAGTAAATTGTTAAAATCTAAATCGAACTGGAAATCATTCTTGCAATTTAGGGAACCATTTAAAACGAACACCCACAAAGATAATATAGAATAGTATGGTACAGAATAGAATGGTATTTATTCGCATAGAAATGTAATAGGTAATACCGATGTGTATAAATATAATATGGTATTTTTTGTAAGATTTTTTACGTGTAATATTATAACACAAAACGCAAAAATTACATAGTGTTAAAATTTGAAATGACGATAGACGCAAAAATTATTCTAAGTAAAAATAACGTAAAAAGACATTTTATTTTCAAATGCAAAGTGAATACATATGTGATAAATATGTGTACTGTTGTTGTTTTATAAAGTTTATTTAGATTATATAAACTAAAGTATAAATTATTAGGCAACGGATCATTTATTGCATTCGAAAATCATATGTCCGATTTGATCAATTTTTCGTACCTCATGTGTATTTTGTTATGATAAAAATGTGTAAAAAATATCTTAGATATTATCTAGGATATTTATATTAGACATGTATCCAGTGGATACATGTCTAATATATTGCCTATAAATAATATTAAGGATGAATGATAAAAATAGTTTTAAAGAATATTGTATAGGCAAGTTATTATACATACACGTGTATAGAAATGAAACAAATAACCAAGTTGATCCTATGTCTTAGTTTCGATAAAAATCGAAATATATTGTTGGTTAAATATTAGTGGATCTACTGTTTATCTGTAGAATGATATTTGCTTATTTGTTTTCATAGTTTATTTTCATTTATTTTCAGTTACATCTTTATAGATATTTATAAATAATAATCAACAGTATTCTGATACGAAAAATATTTTATTGTAATACTATTCTAGGTTTTCTCAGCTAATCAACTACGAATCAATAGAATAAAAAAAGAAAATATGTTTGGGTGAAAATTATTTTTCGATTTAAATTTTTATTTTTCAAATTGATCGAACGGTACTGACGGGTGCATAACGATTTCGTGAAATGGATTTACTCACGGTAAACGGGCACGCAGCCTAAGGGTTCGCGCATAGTAATCGACAGGAGCGCACATGTTACGATAGACACTGCGCGAAAATCCGGTTAGGTTTTTTTTTCGTTTTTCTTTCCCGATTATTCTTTTCCCCGTCATCACAGCACACCCGTGCATTAAAAACTTCATATCGTGATGATGTGTGGGGAGGGGGGTAGAAGGTAGGGCGATCGTCAAACCGCGGACGGTTCGTCGGTTTTGACCAATCGGCGTGATTGTAAAATGCAACGTATAGTGTGCAATGTAAAGTGCACACGTTTCGATGGCCAATGAGCGTTTTCACACTCCGATACGTTTACGCGGCCAGCGGAAAACCAAATAACCCGCGACAAGGGCGTATTTAGGGGGGGGGGGGTGATATGGGCGTTCAGAAACATCTCCCATCGACCGTATTTTATGGTATCTCACAAATTGCAAACTTACAGTATAATTTGAATAAACGTTGTATATAACTCTTATAGATTTTACATACACCGTCTTAATATAATCATTTTCATTTATATGATAATTTATATAAATACATGGTATCTATTGATGTAATACGGGAGGGGTGAGACAGAGCCCCCTACTTACCGTAAGTGCATTAAATCTTAAAACGCCCCCGTTAAATGAATTCTGGATACGCCACTGACCCACGACCACCGCGGGTATCCGTCGGAACCCCTTGCGCTGGGCACCGCGACCGAACACCATTCGGACCACGGTCGATTCACAATGTCACCGTAATGTGTAATACGTGATCAATGGGCTTCGGACGGACGGAACGCCATTCGTATGCGACGCGCGGACGACGAGGCTTGTCGGACGTTCTCGGAAGTCGGTTGTAAACGCGTGGCCGACTGGTTTCCTCCTCCTCCACCCCTCCGAAACGACCCCTCAACCCTTTCTCCGCCACAGAATTCGATTCCCGACCGGTCGTGACTTTCCCCTCCCCCCCATCGGGTACGCCCGACGAGTCTGCGCCTACGGCCATCTACTTACGGCCGCAAGACGGACGTCATACGTGTGCGCGGCGTCGTTTCTTTGCGACGGAATTCCGGGCCGCCGCGGAAAATGATTCGCGCAGAGACAATCTGCCGCGCATAGCGTCGCGTGCGCGCCGAACAAATCGCTTTATTATTTCGGGGCGTCCACGAAACATAAAAAATAAATAAAGATAGAAAAAATACCCTCCGGAAGATACAATGCAGCGGTCTCGAATGCGTTCGACGAAGTTCGAACTAGAAAATGGAAAAAAAAAAAAAAAGAAAACAATGCAACATTCAACGCAGAAAGGTAAAAAGGTTGTGAAATCGTTCGAATTATTGTCTGATTACCGATCGTCTGCATATGATCTGACAATGATGATTCAATTACCGGTGCACAAACAATTACTATTTTTTTCGAACAAGTTTCTAGTGAAAAAATCGAGTACCGCGAAAAAAATAACAATAGAAACTGTCGGCGGCATTGTGTGCTTGGAAATGAAGAGATGACTAGGGACCGGATTTATATGTAAATGCATATTTTTATTAAAACTACATATTTTAGATTTGATAAGAAATTTTCATGATTTAAATCATTCTTTTACTATTTTTATTTTACACATTTTCACATATTTCACAAATTTATAAATAATTTTAAACATATTTTATCATTTCATCATTCATATGTTTTCTTATTACGAAAATACAAGAAATTATTTCAAAGTTAGATCCAGAAACTTCTATCGCTATTAGAAAAGCTCAAAATATTATGCGAAATGAAACATTGAAAAATAATTTCATTTTCATCTCGGTGAGTTTTAGTTTTATTGCACATACAATTACAAAATTAGAAACAAAAAATATGTCTTAAATGATAGTATGCTAACTGTCGAATCAGCGATTGAAAAATTAAAAATCGTAAGAGAACCAATAGGATATGTTGTAAAAAAGAAAATTCATGCTGTTATGGAAAAAAATCTAGACTATATTGACTTTAAAACAACCAATGACATAATGAGGGGCAGACACTCTTCTAAAAATTATTACCTTCTGATATTTTGTCCATCAAATATGCTGAAATTACATCGATTAATGTAGAACGATCATTTAACCGTTTTAAAAATATTTTGAGGCCTGATAAGCGACATTTAACATTTGATAATTTAAAAGAGATTATAATCATTCAATGCAACAATTAATTTTGATAATTTAATAATTATAATTGTATTTTATTTTTAATTAAATTTTCCCCCCGTATATTTGGAAGTTAGCACATATCTTATAAATTATACTTCCATATATATCCATACATATTTCTGTATTTTGATTACATATAAATCCATTCCCTATTGATGATGTTTCATTCAATTGACTATACGCAAGTACGAAATCTGAATTTAGAACCATAGGCCACTAGACGTACAATAAAACGTTTATTTAACGTTTATATTTATATTTTTGTGAGTAGGTGTAATGACTTTGTTTTTGTCCTCCGAAATGTTTTCAATTCATGTAAATATATGAATAAAATTGTTATATGTGTTTCAATAGGTCCGTGTATTATAATAACTGGGAGTGCAAAATTTGGGTGGGCTGCATTTGCATTATGTTGAGAGTATTCAAACTTAGAAATATACTTTTAAATTATTGATATTATTGAATCAATTTGTTTAAAAATTTGGAAACAACAACATTTGAACGAAAAGTCCGAATTCATAAATATGTTTTGTATACTTCAGTATATAATATTCTAATGATATCCAAAAATTGAAAACTAACAGTATATAAATACTATAAATACATTATTTAATAGAAATAATATTGGAAAACAATTTGTTAAAATTTTCCATAATAATATAATAGTATTTAATGTCTGCTTGGACATTTAATAATTATAATTTCAACGTATTATTATATTTATGCATTATAGTGGAGTGAGTATTAAACATTCATGTATAATATTATGCTGTGAATAAACTAATAAATCACCAACTAACATTAAAAACTTAACGTTCGTTATTTCAATAACTATATAGTCTACTAGTATTTATATTATAATTGAACATATATTTTATATATTGTGCATTAAACTATACTTACCTATTAAACATTTATTTTAAATTTTATCTCATTTCCACTCTATAAACAGTTTATTGAAGTACTAAATCCTTTATTCATATTATTGACTGTTTTATTGTAGCAGTTTGAAATTGAAAAATAATAACAAACCAAATTCATATTTTACAACTGTATTTATAACTTATAATAAAAAAAAAAATATGTGACTTATAAAATATAAATAGATGGATAATAATTTATTCATGGTTATATACATCGATATAATACATAATTATACCCCGTGCAATAATATTTGTACAAATTACAGTTTCACTCGAACAAGTGCTTTATTGAGCCCGTCATATGTACAAAGAGTTTAATTTTAGATATTCATATATGTCACGTGACACGTGCTTTCGTGAATTCTATGATTTATTTTCAAGTCATCAAACTTGAATTTTTATAAACCTATTGCAATTTAAAAATTCATTTTAGAGATAACATCTAAATTGTTGTGAAATTTCAAATTGTCCTTATAATAATTGCAAAAACTAATGAATATTAAAAATAAAATAAATAATAAACGAATAAATAATATATTAAAAGTTTAATATTTTATTGTTATTGTTTATATTATGTAGTGGTTAGTGGTATATCCAAATGTATTATTATTATTAGTTATTTCCATTCGCCGTCTAGCTCTTAGTAGTTATTTCAGAGTTACGATGGCTCATTGGGTGTTTATCTTTTTTAATATGAATGATTAACCGTTACACCAGGTGATCCTGAAAGTGACAGGATATTGTGTGTTTTTATGTTTTGTACAACTAAATTTCTTAAAAATTAAAATATAATAGTAACAATAAGCTATTATGATTGTTCTAATTACTAATTGTCTGTTTTCCATTTTACAATTAAAAAATGTTCACGATTGTTACAATTTTATTTTTATTTATTTAAATACACACGTATTTATCTTTTTTTCGGATAGGTTAGGGTCACAAAAATTATTAAACGCGGTATTCATGCGATTTACGAGAATTATAAATTACAGGGTCTCCATCCCAGCATTTTTAATTACACTTATATACAGGTAATAAGTAGCTCTAGCTTAAACCGGACACCGGATCTCAATAAATTCCATGATTAGGTACTGTATTTAATGTCCTTAACATCCCCGTTCGTAAACTTTCTCTATCAAGACGGTACTTCCTCGTACGGAAACAGACCTTCGGACTAAGGAAAAAAAATGTGTAGTTGTTTTATCGCTTGATTGAAATTCCAACTAATAGTTATATAGATACATATTATTTCGTATACTGACAATTTTGGAGTTGTGAGAAACCGATACGACCTTGAAAGGTTTAATGTACTTATGGAATACAATATAGGATATCACTCGACGGAGAAAAAGAAAACTCAACTATGGGTACTAAACAAGATTTTGTTAGAAGTAGTAGGGATAAGTATCAATAAACTCGTGTATAAATGCGATTATAGTTACTTGTGAATATGTTATTTCAAAACTAATTGAATAATTGTGGATAACTTCTTCTTGGGTGTCGCTTTTATTATACCTGCTGTGTTGCCTTCAGTCATCCGAACAAATGATAAATGTTACTGAGCATAAAAACATATTTACTGTCGGGAAATGCATTTATGCAGCTTGAAACTTACAGGTTTATTATTATTGTTATTATTATTATTTTTTTAATACTGTTAACTGTCCTATTTAAAACTTTATTACGTCGAATATAAATTATTGTAACTAGAAGATATCGTATCATACAAATATTTATAAAAAATATAAACATTACCAACGTAGTGAATAAAAAAGCTATCAATAATTATACATAAGAAAAATATGTGTGTTTAGCTATAGTAAGAATAGAGTTACAATATTAAACAAGTTTGCAATGTTTGTTATTAATATTTGTAGAGAAATTTATTAGTTTGCAATGATAACCGTCTACGGCATACATCATAAACAGTCGTATTATAACAGTTAATAGTTTTTTTATTGGTTTTAAGCAGTGAGTAACTGAATTATTAAAATTAAAATGTACGTATCCGATGATTAATTTTAATCTGACATTTAAACCGTCATGGAAAGGATATAAGCTATTAACATTTGAAATTCATCACTTTTTACATTTTTTTTTTTTTTTATAAGATAATGATCGTTTTATAAGACTAGCAGCTATTGGTCGTTTAAATCCTTGATATCGCGTAAATATCGATAAAACGTACTGACCCTTCGATAATCAGTATCTCTTTTTTATTATTCTGTCATAAAAGAATATTATCAATCTCGTAAATAAAATTAACGTGTATTTGAAGTTTTGACCACCCATGTTGTCTAAAAATCTTGGACAAAGTTATTAGTCATTTAAATTAATCATAATTTCAAAAAAAAAAAAAAAAAAAACAACTATATGGAGTGTGTGATATACACACAATATTCTTAACTGTGATGTGTCTGTACTCTAATACAATATGCTATTATTTAAAATGTACAATAAATTGTTTTGTTTTGTAATATTTGCAGTACCTAATGCACTTTATTATAATGATATATATATATTTAATAATATATTTGTAGAACGAAAATAATTTGATATTTGATTCAAAATTTTTTGAAATACATCAAATACAAATGATATTTAAATTATCGATTGTGTTACATGTGAAATATTACTACATAATTAATATTAATTATTAAGGTAACCTATATATTGATGATTTATTATAAAAACTATTGAAAGTAATATTAACAAGGCTATGCTAGTTGATTTTTTTTTTATAAATATTTTAATATTTAAGAAATTTATAAACAATTGAAAATGCTAAAGTTACCTACATTTATTTATATACCCTCAATAAATAAAATAATATATCTATAGTATGAAGCCTTACTGTTAACCAAGTAAGCATAATGAGTGAAGTATGAAGAGTAGTTTTATTGTAATATAAAATGTATGTAAAATGTAAAAAATCGATTTAACCATCGTGCAATCTTTATAAATCGTCGTAACTTATACGCAACCATTATTAATATAGTATTGTATTATTTGAAAATTTGCATTACTCTATAGACCTTCCTCTACAGTTACTATGTCGACTCACGCTAAAATCTTGAATCAAAAAGTATTGGTGATGAAAACTTTTTTATTTAAAACTGAAGTTAAAAATATCGTGAAATAAGGTATTAAATCCATGTTAATTCTTTATCTGGATGCACTATTATAGTATATTATTTATAATTTTAAATGTTTATCAGTACCATTAAATTGATTAATATTTAATAATTTTTTTTATTATATTAAAAATAAATCTGTAATAATTAAAATAGAATGTTTAATATAAATAAAAAAAAAATAATAATAATACAATTTTGTTCACCTAAATACTATTTTAAAATAATTCTCTTAAAATTATTTATAAGTATGTAGACTTAGTTTGTTTACTTCAGAGACCATATTACTACAGTAAAATTGCAATTATTTTTGAATAAAAAATTTTTAAAATCAGTACTGTTACTTTAAAGCACTTACTTATTTACGTTCGTTTGTGTATAGAACAAGAAATTTATACGCAAGTATAAACTATTTAAATATGTCGTTTCGTCCAAATCTAAATATGAGATAGAATTTTGTAGTAAAATTTATGATTTTTTTGATTTACAACAAATTACGATGATCATTTAACCGATCCTTTGTTTGATAAAATTAAAGCAACTTTAACACAATTTAAAAATACTTCGTTTATATAAATGTCAAATACAGAACAAGATATACAAACGTCAGGTTATGATAGGTTACATTTATTCAACTGACACAACACTGAACACAAATTGATTGTCAACATAATATATGTGTGTAAAACATATAACGAGTAATTAGATAATGTATGAAATATTAATTTATGATCCATTAACATTTTTATGTTTGAATAATCTATTATCGCTGTAAAGTATGAAGCTATTAGTTGAGTTGAATTGAGTTACCTACATACATATTATGGTGTTATTGTAAACTACGACTGTAGGTAATGATAAACTAATATAATAAATATAATTTTACAAGATAGTAGGTACTTATTCAATCGTAAATAGTAATAATGGCTGTACAAATAGATTTAAAGGTAAAGTGAAGCGTTGTGTTTCAATAAATACTATCATATAAAATTAAAATACTTAAAAAAAATATTTTGTTAAAATTTTACCTAAAACTAGATATTTAACAACATTTTTTTTTTTTTTTTTAAGATTTCGATATCATGTACTATATACTTGCGTTTTAATTACTCATATTTTTATTTATAGAAGTAGAAAATATAAAAAGTTAGTTTAATTTTTACTTTACTTTTTATTAAACTCTCTATTTAATATTAATTGTTATTATATAAAAATATTTAAATTATATTAGTATAATTTCTAGAACCGGAAGTCATCACCTACTTTTTAAAGTACGTTTTATTAATAGGATTTTACTACTGTTGTCATATGGAAGTGGAACTCTAAAAAATCGCAGTAACTAAATTCGCCATAAAGTTTGAAAAAAATGCACCAGGAAATTATCAATGTTACATGGAAACGAAGTTGGAACTTTTTATTTTATAGTTCTTATGGAATTATTAATAAGGAGGATAATGAATTGTTAAATTAAAATAAAATTAATGTCCTATTTCGATTTATTAGTTTTATTAATTATTTGTGTCTAACAATATCTTCAATAACTATGTATTTATACACTGGTTAAAATGAAAATAGTAAAATCGATTATTTATTGCAAATTAGCAGAATTGGTTATCAAAGTACTTTAATTATTAGGAAAAATTGACCATTGGAATGGTTTGAAATTCAATTTATTATATTTATATAAAAAAGAAAAAAATAGTAGTTTTAATGTTCCAAAAAAGTATGAAAAATTAAATTAATGCATAAATTATAAATAATTCTATCAATGCTAAAGTACCGATTAGGTATGTATTTTTATAATATTATGAATTCGTTGTTGATCGGTTTTTCGTCATATTTTTAATTCTTTCTTGTATAAATACTTAATAAACTTAATAATAATAAAATAAAAATGTTTAATTATTGTGCATTATTTGAAGTTTAGGTATGAAAACAAAATTGATTAATTTACTTTAACTTTAATATTGAACTGTAGCAAATAGATAAATATGTTTGAAACTGTTTTAACTTTTCTTGTTCGTTAAAGAACTTCAAGCTCGCCAGCTTTAGATGTTTGAATTTTTCGATTTATTTATTGTTGCATAACCATTTGAATTGTGTTTTATTTTAATACGGACGTTTATGTACTTTAAACGTAATCATTCTAAGTTTATTATAGGCGTTTTTTTTTTAACTATTACTAACTGGTACTTGACATCTTGTACATAATTTATGTACGATATTGTATAACGCATATTAATCGTCAACGGTTCCGATTTTATTCGATATTATACTTCAGTAAAAACATCGTCGAGACTATAGAAGTCTCTACGGTTTATTGTCGAGAAATACTACACCTATACAAAGACGGTCGTATCATTAGAGAGAATGGTACGATTTCACTTCAGTGCGCGTGTCATTATTGCAATGTGCTCAACTATAATTGTCGTTATAATAATAATGGTATTGTAAATTATATTACTATTATTACTACATTGTGTTGTCCGTATGCAGTTGCTTCTGTTATTCGAAGCGCGAAACTTTGGAGGCTAAACGATGAACGAAAACGAAATGTATAGTCAAACAGCCGGCAGCGATCGTTTTCGCGACATGCCGACAAGATGTTTAACGGATTCTCTATCATGGTGGTCGGCAACAGCTCTTCAGTTACCGCCAATTAAACGGCAATTAAACGACGGTTGAAATTTTTGTTTTAACCGTACCAACGAATTATTTGGGCGGTCTCCTTTAGGTGAAACGATTAATCTAATTTTTTTACCCGATAAACGCAAAGGAAATATGCACGTCTGCATTTCGAAACTCTCTTTGACTCGTGGAAACCGTTTGTTTTCTCACAAAAAAAAAAAAAAAACGCGACCTTACGATGATTTACGATAATATAGTACAGTAAATATATGGACACGTAACCCATAATGAAATAACGAAATTCGAGATTATTTTGTTACGTGGTTATTCATTACAGTTGTTACAAAATGCAGTACAATTTTACATTCTTTCGCTCTAGTTATTGGATTGAATTATTGTTCACCCATATCTTATAATTATTTTCCGTGTAAGTATATAGATATTTCAATAGAGGAGTCTTAATTTATTTTAATACGTGTGCTATAACATACTCTGCTGTATAATATAGTTGTAAACTATATTCATTATTGTAAATTGAATGTTTGATGCTTCAATCAAATGATCAAGATTGTTTGATTACATACTGTCGTCGGTGTAACAGTTTGAGTAGAATTTATTATAAATCGAAGAGGAGGTTTTGTCGAACACGCCCATGGAATAGTATAAAAATATGTCTATTGAATGTTTTTATGCGGAGTCATTTAACTGTGTACAGTGTTTGCGAGGAAAGCGTATTATCGTTTGTATACCTACATTTAATATGATCGATATGCTGTCCAGACCATTAATTTATCCCTTTTAAGCACGTGAGTACTGAGTTGAATTTTAATATATTTTTGCATATATGTATAAAGGCCTTAAGCGTTTTAATTTGAAAAATAAATGCATTTTTTAAAGAACAATATATTTAGTAATTCATTAGAGATTGGAGGTTTGATTTTTGTTTTTAAATTTTGTACGTTTTCAATATATTTAACTTTTTTCTTGTTGTTAACTTTGTGAGACTGTTTTTATAATTACATTATATTTTTCCATTGTATTCAAGAAATTCCCATGCCAACGAGGTACTGTGTTTAACATGACTTGTCAAACCCAATTTCATAGAAAAAATCCACAAGATTTAAGAGTCAAATCTATATTTGCACTAACTAAAATTATGCGATTAATTAACTATGACTATAACTAGAAAAGAATATGTATTTAGTCATATTGATAATATTTAAATGTCAAATGGCGCACATTTTATATACAATTTCACAGAGATTCTATTTTATTTTTTCGATGATTTAGTGTTTTGGAATATAAAATATTTATTAAGGTTTAATTCTTACGAGGAAATAATTATTATTAATAATTTATTCATTATGAATTTTCTTTTTTAAATAACAAGAAACCACAAAGATTATATTTATTTTACGAAATTCGATGTTTTAATATATGTTAATGTTTTGTTCTGTAATTTATGTTTTGCTTGCTGGATATACTTTACATACATATTATTAGTTATGTTTTCATACATTTAAAAATGATATCGTATATTATTTTTGTGATAAACTTTAAACTTTGTGATTGATAAAAAAAATAACAGGAATATACAAATGTGATAGAAATTCACGTAGTATTTTATACATAAAACTCGTATTTAAACTATGATAAATAAACTAACAATGACTTTTATGGAATTCATAGTTCACATGATTTTGTAAATGTTAGTCTTAAATTTAAGGTTAAGATTAACTATTATTTTCATTACTATTACCATAATATGTTCTATAAAATTAGTTAAATTTAGTCAAAACTAATATTTAAGGCTCATTAAGTAATACGCCCAAGTTTCACAGAATTATCATTACACACAATATGTTATATATTTCAAACTAATTCTTACGTCATAATAGCAATACGATACTAAAGATCAATCTTTGTAAATGTTATGAACCCGTACAGTAACCATAACGTAACTACAGGCTTATATGCCTTAATTCAAATGTAGCAAACTACATTATACTGTTAACTGCACAACTTGCAGTAGTTGACAATGTTTACGACACTATATTATTGTATGTTGTACGATTTCAAAGTGTTCTACCCAATGGTTACAATATAATATGCTTTCCTTTATAATCCGTTTTGTAGCCAGTAGTTGTTCTATTCAGATGACTGAATTCGTCTCATTGGGTAACCCACACGTCTGTCCCTGACTGACATAATGTTCAACACTGCATAGGTTACTATACAAGTAGATATCTTTGTTACCCCAGGCGAAATGCGTTTCTGATCAGTGACCAATTGTAATCGAACACCGCGGGCCGTGTTCTAGATATTGCATATGATGATGGTTTAACAATCATAGGAAACAACATATTTGAGAAGTGATGTTAGTTTGTATGAATAATTTTGTTCTTCTCAATGTATGTTTATTGATGCTTTCGATTCGGAAAATAAAATATATGCAACACGCGTGTCAAAAACCAAAGATTGCGATTGGAAATTTAACATTTTCACTGGGTAAATAATAATATTTATTTATTATTATTATTATTATTATATTTTTTTTTTCATATAAAATAAAATACACTATTTGAGCCATTAATTTTATTTGCAGTCGTTAAAAATGTTAACAGATTAAAAAATACATAAAAACTAATGATAATTAAATAAATAATTTTTATTTAAAGAATCTCGAGAATACAAACATAGTTATTTTAGCTTTCAAAATACTCGATACTATCGAAAAATCATCGACTGTCGGCTTTTTAAAATATAAAATACCAGTTTTTTTTTTAACAGAAATACACCATAATGAATAATTATGAAGTAAACGGATTTAAGTACAGTACCATATTAATCATTATACAGTAGGGTAGCGGATAGCGAGCTAAATGGATAATAAAAATTGTAGAAAACTTGTTTGGTCTTACAATTTTAAATTTATCTTTTATGAATACTTTAACGGTTAACAAAGCGCGGATAGGTTTTGAA